CCTTCCTTCCTTCCGCGCCTTCCTTCCGCGCCTTCCTTCCGCGCCTTCCTTCCTTCCTCTCACTACTTTTCCTGTCTGCAGATATGGAAAAAGTAAACTGATTCTTACCAAGTTATTTTATACTCACATTTATGCCAATCAGGGGCTCTTAAGGTGCTGTTTGGGGCAGCACTGGCCCAGATAACACTGAGGGGAGTGGGAAATGACCATTTTTCCCAGGAGAAAAACAGAAGGGAGTTTCCAGAGGGCCATTACCTAGGAAATTCCCCCCAGAATGGGGTCATGAAGAGCAGAGAGCGATTTCTGTGTGCTGTGTTATTCTGCCTGGAGGGAGAATGGCTGACAGTGCACTCCTATCCCATGTCCATCCCATGCTCATCCTGGGTCCCTAGGCTSGCATGGGAATCTCAGGAGCTTTCAGAACCTTGGAGACTGATTGTCCATCAAATCCATCTGTTGTGTATTGTTGACACCTCACCCTCAGGCGTGGCAGGGTGGAAGTTCACTGTTTCACCCCTCAGCCTCAGCTCAGGAGGGATGCAGAGGGGTCARCTGGGGATGGAGAGGGAGCAGCAGGGCACAGGGCTCAGACCAAGGTCTGCCAGCAGCCTCAAAGGGACCTCAACAACAGCACAGTCACACCAGGASAGCCCTCCACACCCAGGCACTGCAAGCCAAGCAGAGCCTCTGTACCTGCCCATCCCAATTCACAGTTTTCACTCCAGCAGAGCCCTCCCAGGGGGGAGCAGCTCATTCATGGCCATCAGGCCCTGTCATTAGTGCCCCTGCCATGATTCAGTAACATGATTCAATAACATGTACTCACCTGCCCAGTTATTCAGGACCAGAAAATGCTTTTACACCRCAGCTTCCTTTCAGTTTGGCTGCCCTAAACAACCTAAATGTCCTCAGTTCAAACAGCACTCGACCTAAATATCCRACCTAAATATCTTAAATATCCAGCCTAAATACCCTCAGTACATGGAACACTCAGCCTAAATATCTAACCCAAATATCCTCAGTAGACTGTGCTACTTTGGGAGTTAATGACTGGTTGGGTGATGAAAAGCTGACAGCCCATCCCCGCTCAGAATTTCTGTCCCTGTTTCTTGTCTTTCAGGGAGTTATTTMTYCACAAACCCTCATCTTTCATGCCATGTCATCAGACATGGGAAAACAAAAGAGTTAATAGTAACTGCTTAAGCAAAGCTGACTGGGCTAAGCCTTCACTGTAGTGCCTATCTTGCCCACCATTAATCATGCTAGCCAAATATAATTTWAAAAAAGACATCCGTAACCGAGTTRCTATTCTTTAGACCCTCAAACCAGTAAAAACCAACTCAAAAGTTTGAACTGATACCAACCAGAAAGCATGCACAGAAACAAAAAGTAAAAAAGTCAACTTTAGACTTCCTACTTCATCAAAAGACCACCTAAAAACCACCACCAGAGTGCAAAATGCATGTGTAAACACATGGAAACCCATTAGCATAAAATGCAGAGACAAGTAATGAATATATATAGGCGAATTGCAAAACTCAATCCCTATGTATCCAATAATAACTCAATAAAAACCAGAGAGTTGTACTGCAAAGGTGTGCACCACAAATAATCATACCTACTTTACAACTTTACTTACTTGTAAAGTCCTTCCCCATCTCAGCATCTGCAGGATCACTTTCCAAGGGAGGTCTGTGCCCTGACAGCCGGCTGTAGGGTGCTGCCAGACGGGACCCACACTCAGTTACAAACTCTTGGCTGCTAAAATACRAAGCTGCCTTTAAAAGCTTTGCCTTGCACATAGGGCACAAGCAACGTGCTTTTGCTAAATTCCAAATCTAAATTTTGCTAATTCTAAGTCATCTGCTCAGATGGGAGCTGTGGGGATTGGTATGCCCATTGCCAGGAGGGGATGAGGGGCACATTTCCACAGGGAGGAGGGTGCCCCATTCACATCTGTGTGTGCATGGAAGGGTCTGACTCAGGSCTCAGCCCTTCCAGCTGAGTGCCCCTGTGTCAAACAGGGCTCAACTCTTCCTGGTCAACCCAGTTAATCAGCTGACAGGAACTATGAGGTTTTAGGTATTTATGTCCTGTAAAAGGCCAGCCACTACTTATCTCTGTAGATAACACTTCAGAGGAGAGCTGCTTCCCATTTCTGCTTTCTGAACAGTTTCTTGTGCTCTTCCAAGTGCAACAAACTTGTCCAAGAGGCAGAAAATGGAGGAAAGACCATTTCCGTACATCCCCTAAATCCATAACACAAAACCAGCTTTTTCCAATGCAGCATTTCAAGGCAGAGGCAGTGGTTGTGTTCCCCTGGGTGCTGCCTGCTGGGTGCTGGGTGCTGGGTGCTGGGTGCTGTGCTTGGCTCAGGCTGTCCCTGACACAGGACTCTGCTTCACCTTCAGGTTCAGCATTGCTGCCTTCACCAAATATGACCCAGTGGCCCCTGCTGTGACATTCACCATGTTCTCAGGTAAGCTGGAGGGTGGCATCTTCCCTGCCTGGCTGTGTGGGTTAGAGGTGATGAACTGCCAGAGAGAGCTCATAGGCTACAGCAAATATAATAAATAGAATAAATGCAGCCATTTGTAAYRGAATTGTAGAATGGTTTGGGTTGGAAGGGACCCTAAAGCTCATCTCATTCCAYTCCCCCTGCCAYGGGGACACYTTCCACTMTCCCAGTTTGCTCCAARCCCCSTCYAAYGTAGCCTTGGACACTTCCAGCTTCTCTGAGCAATCTGTGCCAGGCCCTCCCCACCCTCATCATAAAAAAACTTCTTTACTGATTCTTACTTCTCTCTGTACTCTCTTTTTCCAATTCCAGCTGCTGGATCCGGTGCAGACACAACTCCGCTCTCAATGCCAATAATCGCTGGAATTGTTGTGGGGTTTCTTCTGACACTTGCAGCTATTTTTGCTTTGGTTTACTGGAAACAGCTCAGAGCCAAGAGGTGAGCATGAGCCATGTCTTACCTGCTGGGTGCACGCTGAGATAGCCAGCCTTCAGTGCCAGGCCTGGAGGAGAGCAGGGAGAGGGTGTAAAAAGAGAGTTAGACAAACCAGAATGTGGGCTAGCGGGATTGTGCCTGGCCTGGCAAGCTCAGCAGCCAAAGCCAGAGGGGAGAGAGGAGATGCTTCTGTGGGGTTAAATCACAAAACCCAATACACAGTGCCCTATGGCATCCATCCCTGGCTGCAGGCAGAACTAACTAAAGCTCCTGTGCTTTGGTTCTAGAACCAAGAAGAGCAGCCTGCCCCAGGAAATGGTGACCTACAGCCTGAGGTGAGTGCTGTCTGCCCTCTGTACGGCCCCACTGCAGTTCCCACTGTCCTTTTCACTTCCTTTTTCATGCTTTGACTCAGGGAAAATCCAAATGTCTCCTCTCCTTGCTTATTTTATAAATCAGTCTTTCCCAAGTTCAGTGTTCATTGTCCATCTCCATTCCAAATCAATGCACTGTCTGTCCCTCCTCTGAAAAGAGAACATCCTCATCACCCTGAAACCCTTCCCAAATTAAACTGTTGGACARTGAGTGGGCTATGAACCATCCCTGTGTGTGCACCCAGGTCCTGCAGGTCTCATGCCTGGGCTGTCCCAGTGTCCCCTGACTGGCTGGCCAGAGTTCCCAGTAGCTAAGGCCAGTTTTCCTCTGGACTTCATTCCCTGCAGAAATGTCCACCGGCCAGTTCCCCTACAGAGCTTCAAGCAGTACTATGAGATGAAGACAGCAAATGCTAACCACGCTTTTTTCCAGGAGTTTGAGGTGAGATTACTCCTCCTAGAGATGACACCTTATTTCTCCACTCAGTGGCTCATGCTGTTGGGTGTGGAGTGCCCCTCTCCAGGGACAGTCACCCTTCTCTAGCAATCCAGCCACCCTGTGAAGCAACCACAGATGGGATGGACCCAGTGATCAGGCAGTTCCTGTGCTCAAAACCTGTTTTGTTCCAGTTCTGGTTGAAACACGTGTGGTGTAAGATGAAGTAGGACAGGGRCAGGAGGTGAAGATGAGAGGGGTGGCAATGAGAACCACCCTGACAGTGTCAGCAAAGAGCCTGCAGCCAGAGGGGAGGTCAAGGAGCACTCTCAGGCCTCCAGACTGTGAGCTTCACCTTGGGCTGCCTTCCCTGGCTCCCACTGCCAACATCTGCAGCCTCTGGAATCTTCTGCTGCATCATCTTTCAAATTCCCACCAGCAATTTCACACCCTGTTTGGATCACCCTTCTCTAGCTTTTTGAGTGAGCACAGGGCAGAGGCAGATGCAGCACAAGATATTTCTGTTTGCTCAGCACAGAATCCTCTGAGCTTTGTGGTAGATTTCTGGGGCTTTCCCCCAGTACTTGTTCTCAGATTTTTCTTTTAAATATGAACAGTGCTGTTGAAAAAGGCAGTGGGAAAAGCCTCCACAGGCCATGTGAAGGAGTGGAGCAGTTCCCTGTGTGAGGGGAATCCTCTTTACCCTCCAGATGGAGCTGCTGGCCATGGGCAGGGAGCTGAGCTGGTCAAGAGCTCTCCAGGGCAATGYTCATGATTTTCTCCCCTGTCCTACAGGAGCTGAAGGAAGTGGGGAAGGAGCAGTCGAAGGTGGAGGCTGAGCTCCCAGCCAATGCCTCCAAGAACAGATATCCCCACGTGCTGCCCTGTGAGTGCCATCACCTCCCTTGTCCCCCAGCAGCTGGGGTGGGATCTCACTGGGCAGGCTCAAGGGCAGGCTCAGTGCCTGGCTCCTCTCCTGCAAGCAGGATGGGCCTCAGTTTCCATTTTCCTGCTCGAGGYTTAGCGGCTGAGCCMGGGCTGAGCCCCCATGCTCCRCAGCTCCTCCAGCTGRGTGAGCCCAGCTCAGGGTGGGTCCTGGCTGGGCACCAAAGGGGGTCCTCGAGCTCCACTGATGGGCGTTGTGACCCCAGTTGTGTTTTCCCATCCCCTGCCAGCCCAGCTGGTGAGCAGTGCTCACCTCTGCAGGGAGAAGGTTCCTGGTGGAGCACGGAGCCTCCCTGCCGGGGCTGCTGGGGTCAATCCCAGCAATCCCACTGGGTCACCCCGGCCCTGTCCTGCTGAAGGGCTGCCCCAGGGGCTCACCTGTGGGTGTGGGGTTTCACCTGTGTGTGGGGGTCTCTTTCAGACGATCACTCTCGGGTCAAGCTAAGCCAGCAGGGGGATGATCCACACTCAGACTACATCAAYGCCAACTTCATGCCTGTGAGTGCCCGCTTGCCTTCCCCGCAGGGACATGGCCATGGGGCAATGTCACACARACTCTGCCCCCTCTGTGAGGGCTGGTGGGCACCATGAGATGCTGGTGAAGCTGGCACGGRCCAGCAAGGAGCTGGGGAAGGGTGGAGGTGTGTGGCTGCCCCATGGAGCCTGTCGGGTGGCAAACGCCGTGGTGCAGAGTGTGAGTGTGGAACACCGGCCGGGCTCTCTGCTTTCTTCTCATGAGCTGTCTGTCCTCTTCCATCACCTCCCAGCTTACTGCCCTGTCTCTCTGCCTGCTCTTTCCCCTTCTGCTCTGTGCAGCTGCATTTGAACAAGCCCGGAGCTGTGCCTTCACCCCCCAGCCGGGAGGGGTTCCCAGGTAACAGGCAGGGCACGCAGCATGCACGGTGTGTGGAGCTGGGGGCACGCGTGTGTGCAAGGGCAGAGAAACACCCCGAGACCTTGCATGCTCACCCCACCCTCAGCACTCAGGGGGAAGCGCAGGGAAGACMCAGATCTGTCATTCCCTGGTCAGACTGAATGAGGAACTGCTTGGAGGGAAATGGTGKGGGTGACTTTATTCCAGATATGTAGAGAGCATGTGCTGGGCAGCTCATGCTGCCTCTGAGATTAGCTGGAACTGTGCCCACGTGGGCTGAGGGCAACAGCAATTTCTCCTTCTGCCACAAAAACAGACCAGGCACTGACTGGTCCCAGGGCAGGACCCACCCACATGGGCAACCTGCCAACCCATCTTGCTGTTGTCTGCCTCTTGCTCAGGGCTACACATCCCAGCAAGAGTTCATCGCCACCCAGGGGCCCCTGAAGAAAACCATAGAGGACTTTTGGAGGCTGGTGTGGGAGCAGAACGTGTGCAACATCATCATGCTGACAGTGTGCATGGAGAACGGGCGGGTAGGTGGGACCAGCCCTGCCCTGTCCTGGGGCTGTGAGCCGAGCCCTCCCCAAAAACCCTGCACTGATATGGCCCCAGGGCCAGCACAGCCCATACCCTTCCCTGGCAGGCGGTTTGGGGGAAGAGAGGCTGATCTAAACTTGGGACAGAAGTGGGACTTAGCTGGGGCTGTGCCCATCACCCTCAGATATTCCTGCAGAGTCTGAAACTGCCACGTGCTCTGGGCGAGCCACCTCACACGGGCTGTCCCTCACAGAGGTTAATTCAGAGAATAAAAAAGCAGTTCTGTTTATTGAAGGGCTTTCAGGTACATTCAGGGCAGTCCCAGCCCGGTCTCCAGGGATGATGGGACCTGCACAGGTCCTTTTTTCTGGAGCAGGCTGAGATCCAGATCAAGAGGCTGCGGGGTAGACCGTGCAGAGCTCCCGCTGGGAAGGGGATGCACCCCTGCCCGCTCCCCAAGGCGTGTCCTGGCTTCCCTCACAGCTCCCCAGACTCTCCCCAAAGGTCACCTTGTCCCTCATGGGGCCCCTGTCCTGCCCTAGGTGCTGTGTGACCATTACTGGCCGTCGGAATCTGCCCCGATCTCCTACGGACAGGTGCGTGTCCAGCTGCTGACGCAGAGCAGTGCTGAGGAGTGGACCACGCGGGAGTTCAAGCTGTGGCATGTGAGTACGGACCCCAGGGGACATGGGGACATGTTGGGGGCTGGGGGTGGGCCCTGGCATTTCTCCTCAGTGGTGGTGGCACCTTTCCCCRCCGTTTGTGGTGCTCAGAGAAGATCCAAGCCCCGAGGAGCAGTGTGTCCCTTCAGATGGGTGACACAGGGATGTCCAGCTTGTGTCACGCTGTGGGGGAGGATGGAGGAGCAGGAGCCACCAGGAGCGCAGGAGCCAACAGGAGCACAGCAGCCCTGGCAGGGTCAGTGCCTGGCTCCTCTCCTGGCACCAGAAGGGCTCCTGAAATGGGCCTCAGTTTCCCTTTTCGTGGTGGACACTCGAGGTTTGATGGCTGTGTCCCCGCAGCTCCTCAAGCTGGGTGAGCCCAGCTCAGGGTGGGTCCCAGCTGGGCACCAGAGGTGTCCCCAGGTGTTCCCAGCTGTCCCTATCTGTCCCCAGCTATCCCCAGGTGACCYCAGCTGTCCCTAGGTGTCCTCAGCTGTCCCTAGCTGTCTCCAGACATCATCTGCTGTCCCCAGGTGTCCCCAGCTGTTCCCAGCTGTCCCCAGATGTCCCTAGGTGTCCATAGCTGCCTCCAGGTATCCTCTACTGTCCTCAGCTGTCCCTAGTTGTCCATAGCTGTCCCCAGCTGTCCATAGCTGTCCTCAGGTGTCCCCAGGTGTCCATAGTTGTCCCCAGCTGTCCCCAGGGCCGCAGGGTGTGAGCCCACCCCCACCCATCCCCCACAGGAGGGTCAGCGGGCGGAGCGCTTCGTGTCCCACCTCCACTACACCTCATGGCCCGACCACGGCATCCCCGAGTCCACCTCATCCATCATGGCCTTCCGAGAGCTGGTCAGGGAGCACATCCAGAGCACCAAGGACACGGGGCCAACCCTCGTGCACTGCAGGTGAGGCTCTGTCCCCAGGGGCAGAGGGAGGGGACAGTGGGACAGAGCAGGGGGATGAGGGTCCTGCTGGTACCCAGGGTGTGGGGCAGCTGGAGATGGTCAGCACCATCCCAGGGCAGCCTGAATGACCCCTCAGTCCCCGGGTGCCATGCTGGGGTCAGTGCCTGGCTGTGCTGCAGCTGCAGGGAGCCATGGGCCTGGTTTAACCCTTGGAGGGWAGTGGTGTGGGTCACTCTGTTCCAAATATGTAGCGAGCATATTTCAGCTGATTTCAGTGGGAAGGCATGGGGAAGACACGGAGCCTTCTCAGAGCTGTGCTGCGGAGGGATGAGAGACACGGGGGGGATTTGGGAGGGTAATCCTGTCCATGCCCTCAGTGCCGGCGTGGGTCGCAGCGGCACCTTCATCGCCCTGGACCGGCTGCTGCAGCAGATGAAGCAGGAGAAGGCAGTGGACATCTTCGGCGTTGTGTACGCCCTCAGGATGAACCGGTACCTGATGATTCAGACGCTGGTGAGATGCCTGCTCCCTCCTTCCCCCAGCCCCTCACWTCATTCCACTGAAATTCACAGGACTGGCTTGGTCCCCAGCCTGTCACTGTGCCATCGTGCTGCTCAGGTTGCCTTGATTGGCTAGTTTTAATTATTGCTATTTTAAAATTTTATAATTATATATCTATACATATAATTATATATATCATATATTATTTATATATAATATGTATAATATATTATATATATTATTTATCATATAATATAATATATTATTATATATCATTATAGATAATTATTATATTATATTATATTATATTATATTATATTATCACATTATATCACATTATATCACATTATATCACAATTTTATATTATTATATATTGTAATTATATATAATATATCTATACATAGAATGTAGAGTAAGTAATATATAATATAAATTATTATTTATATTAATATTACTTATTAATATAAATAATAGAGAGATATAAAAATATTATATAATACATAATTATATTTAATTATTGTATTTATTTGCTAGTTTAATTATGGCATAGACACAGTTAAGGGGATAAAAGGGTTTTACCTCAGTATTTAATGGCGTTTTTAATAGGTTTAAGATAGTACAGGGCACGCTGATCTCTTAGTGAGGATGTTTGGTTTTTCTGCCCAGCAGAGCTTTTAAAATTAATATATTTATAAATATATATTTATAATATATATATTTATATATTTATTATATATAATATATTTATAATATAAAATATATTTATATATTTGTATATGATTTATATATGTATTTATAATAAATATACATTTATAATAAATAAATATATTAAGCTAGAATATTAGGCTACAAGAATTAAAAGTATGCAGGTGAAGGGTACGAGGATACATAAAGGGTACAGAAATRTTTAGAAGGGTATATAAAATATATTAAAGGACATATAAAAATAATAGGCAAAAATCATTATCCATCATTCAAAGCAGCATCTCAGCTGGAGTGGAAACTGCTGGGGCGGTTTTCAGCAGCTCCATGCCCTGCTAGAACCACAGCAGCAACATCCAGAGTGTCAGACACTTCCCAGGAGGCTCAGGAAGACCCCGGAGCACTGGGAAACAGGATCAGTCCCTTTGCAGGCAGATCCTTGCTCTCACCACGTTGTGGGTCCGTGATGCCCCATATCCCATCTCCCATCTCCCATCTCCCATCTCCCATCTCCCATTTCCAGTCCTCGGGGCTGGGACACGGGGTCAGCGCTCCCCTTGAGGACAGCCAGACCATGCCCACCGTGCCGTGCTGTCTCTGCGGTGTGACTCTGTGCCTTTGCCTTCCAGTCCCAGTACATTTTCCTGCACAGCTGCATTCTGGACAAGATCCTGGAGGAGCCTTTGCTGGGTTTAGCAGGGACAGAGAGGTAAGGCCTTGCTGTGCTTTGCCCCTCTGCCCACCCTGATCCACCACCCCTCCAGGGCAAGCCTTGGCTCCCGGACAGATGGACAGGGAAGCCCAGCCAGCCATCCCCACCGTGTGTTTTGGGAAGGGTCAGCACAGGAGCTTCTCCCTGTGATGCCTAAAATCCAGCTTACCTAAACCAGAGGCTGGACAAAATTCAGAGAATCAAAAAGAAGTTGTATTTATGGAAGAGCCTTCAGGGCCATTCAGGGCAGTCCCAGCCCAGCCAGGGGCTGCACCCACAATGGACAATGGCTTACGGGTTTTTCACCCTTTCTCACTTTTGTCCATTTGCACATCAGGGCTGAATCCTCCAATTGCAGCTCAGCCAATGCAGTCATTCACTCCAAGTTGGCTGCCCCAATTCTCTGTTGTTTCCATCTCTTGGGGCCTGGCACAGTGAGGTGTCCTTGAGTTTGGGGCCTGGAGAAGAATTGTTTTGTGTAAAAATGGGAGAACAGGAGCTCACTGCTGTACACTAAAGAATTACAGGATTACAGATACATGAAGAATACAAAAGCTAAAATCTTAAGGCATCACCTGTTCATGGGCATCACCCAGCACAGAGCAAAGTGCCAGCATTCCTGGTACACCAGTGCCAGAGAGCTGTGCTGGGGAAGGCATTTCCTTCAGCCCCTGCCCTCGCAGCCCAGGCATGGCCCAGAGATGTGATCAAACTGGAGAGGCTCAGGGCAGCTGGGTGGCCTTGGGGTGTCCCTCCTAATGGAGGCTGAGAGGACAGGGCAAGGTCCAGCTGGGCATGGCTTTGACCACCTGTCTCATTGTCCTGGGGCTGCATCTGGGAGTCACACRCCTGTCCTTGTGGTCAGATTGTCTCCCCCCTCATGCAGAACAGGATGTCCTTGTCCTTGCTGCCTCTTGGGAATGAGCCCTGGGCTGTGCCACTGAGAGCTGCCTGTGCAGGGGAGAGCAGGCTGTCAGGGCCAGAGCTGGGCTGGGAACCTGAGACACCCCTGGCATTGGAGGAGTGCAGGTYACTGCCAGCTCTGTCCACCTGGGTCAGTGAGCTCAGCCTCAGCCTCATGCCCCGGCTCTGTCCGCAGGTCCTGCCCCATCCCGCTGAAGAGCTTTGCCCAGCACTACGCCCAGAAGGCAGCCAAGGCACATATGGGCTTCCTGAGGGAGTACGAGGTGAGAACTGGCCCGGGCAGCTGCAGGGAGCGCTGCCACAGCCGTGTGTGCTGAGGGCACCTGGGCAGGGACTGCAGCTGGCAGGCTGGGGGACACTGCGTGGGTCTGTGTGACAGGGGACACCCACAGGTCTGTGTCACGGGGACGCCGCATGGGTCTGTGTGACAGGGACACCCTGTGGTTCTATGTCATGGAGACACCCGCAGGTCTGTGTCATGGGGACACCCCGCAGGGCTGTGTTACTGGGGACACCCACAGGTCTGTGTCATGGGGACATCCCTAAGGTGCTTCCTGAGTGGGTTTCCTGGGTGTTCTGTCAGGGTTCCCTCTCCATTCTGACAGCATCCCCCTCTCCATTCTGGCAGCGTCCCCCTCTCCATTCTGGCAATGTCCCCACTCCATTCTGGCAGTGTCCCCTCTCCATTCTGGCAGTGTTCCCTCTCCATTCTGGCAGTGTCCCCTCTCCATGGCGCTGCACGCCCAGGCCCAGAGCTCCCTCATGCATTCTGCACTGCTCAGGGTCTGTCCATCACCCCCTCCTTCCTGGGTCCTGCCTGGACAGCAGCAGTCTTTTGCTGACCACATGGCACACACCTGGCAGCCTGGAGTCCAAGTGTCCTCAGGAGGCCCTGGTTCCTCCTGTCCTGCTCCTGACCCTTCCTCCCCTCTCTCTCACTCCTGCAGGCCCTCCTGGAAGCTGTCAAGGAAGAAGCCAGCTCTGCATCACCATCTTCAGGCAGCCAGCAGACACGGCCCTCTTCCAGCATCCTGCCATGTGAGTTCTGGGACACCTTCCATCCTCTTCCTTCCTGCTCCTCTTCCTCCTCTGAAAAGCCAGGCTGGACCTGGGCTGGTAGTCCACAGCACGAGAAAGTATTTTGAGACTTTGGCAACTCCACCAGAAGGCTCCTGAGGTGTTTGGGATGGAGCACGTGGTTTTTGGGGCTGGGATAGGTGGGTTTGCTCAGCATGGAGAAGGCAAAGGGGAGTTCTTATCGCTGATTTCAGCTACCTGTGGGACAGCACAGGGAAGGCACGGAGACCTCCCAGAGCCGTGCCATGGAGGGATGAGAGACACAGGGGGTGATTTGGGAGGGTAATCCTACTCAGTGGAAGGAATAATGAGTTTCCATGAAGATGCTCAAACACTAGAACAGAGGCCCAGAGCTCTCCATCCTTGATCAGAGGCCAATCTCCATTGGCTCACACACCGAGTGACCTGCACTACCAGAGGCTGGCATAAGGACTTGTCTTTTGGGACCCAATATCCACAGGCCAGGGATGAGCAGTGCAGCAGGGCATGCCTTTGCCAGGAAGTGGTGCAGGAAGGATCGGATTGGTGTGACAGTCAGTCTGCAGAGGCTGTTGGAGTTTGAGACTGCCTCAAACTCCTCCAGCTCCCGCTTGCTTTGCAGATGATCGCTCCAGAGTGAAGTTCTCCCTGCTGGAGCAGGGCCCATTCTCAGGACTGCTGCAATCGTGGCGTATCCCGGTGAGTTGCACCCCAGCAGCAGCACCCAGCCCTGTGCCCTGGGTGTTTCATCCTCGCTGTGCCACTGTGCCCTGGCTCCTGCACTGCTCCAAGCGTAATTGTCACTGTGAACCTGCATGGAGAAGAAGGGATTGAGAGAACTGAGAACATACTTCCCTTGCTTGCCCTCCCTCAGTGCTTTCTCTTCTCTTCTTGCCTCCTGACCTGCTGAGGTCCCCTCCCCTCCCCTCCCCTCCCAACTCCTCTCACATCCACCTGGGCAGACAGCACACCCTCTCCAGCAGGACAGTAACATTTACATTCCCCACCAGGGCTGCAGCTCCAGCAGGGACTATCTGGCCATCCATGGCCCTGACAAGCTGACCATGGAGGACTTCTGGACCCTGGTGTGGGAACAGGATGTCCACACGATCCTGACACTTCTCCCATGGCAGGAGAAGGGGGAGGTAAGGCATTGTGCCCACCTGTGCCATGGCAGAGGGGGGATCTCTTTGGTGGAGTTGGAATTGGCAGAGCTCTCGAAACTCTTCACTGCCTCCTGAGCCTGCATGCAAAGCCAGCTCAACGAAAGCTGGACCTTTCCTGGGTCCAGGAGCTCCCACAGCTTTTCAGGGTAGACAGGTCCTTCTGTCCCTCATGCCTGGGCTCAGCTCCTGCCCTTCCAGCTGCATCTGCATGAGACCAAGGGCAGCAGTTCCTGCCCTGCCCAGTTGACAGGTAGACASTGGCTGAGCAGATTCCTGCTGCCAGGAAGCTTTGGGTTCCCAGATGGGCTGCCTGAACCTGCTGCTGTTCCCAGAGCTCCCTCAGGTGGGGCATGAACAGCCATGGGGAGATGCTGGGTGTGCTCTTGGTCCAGCCCCACCACAGACCCCGGAGATGGTGACTGATGTGACAGACAATGACCATCAACAGGTATCCTAGATTGAAAGCAAACCAGCGGGGGAATTGCCTCCAGACAAATATGTTACCAGAGATTCTAAGTCACAACTACAATTTAATAGGAAAAATTAAAATAAAGGCAATAATATAGAAACTGTAGCTCAAACTGACAGAGTCAGAATATAACCTGACATCCTGTTGGGCAACAGGGTGGTGGCTGCAGTCCCATTGGAGTGATGGATGTGCTCTGGTTCAATGTTCAATGTTCAATGTTCAGTGGTGGCTGCAGCCCCGTTGCAGTGAGGGATGTGCAATGGTCAATGGTGGTGCAGCCCCATTGCAGTGATGAATGTGCTCTCGACCAAGCATTGATCCTGCAGACTGGTCCAGTCCATCTCTGGAGGTCCAGGGGTGGTTCTCAGCTCCTCTCCTCTGAGAATGCAGTAGAAGAAGTGTCCCACTGTCCCCAGGCTTCAGTTTATGTGCCAGTAGGGATGTCCAGTTGCTCCTCTCTGGACAGGGCATCCCCCAATGGGATGATGGAATTCCATGGATCATTCCCAGAGCCCTCGATGGCCCATGAGCAGAGATGGACCCCCCAAGGGTGTTATCAGGGCTGGGTCATGCTGAGGATAAAGAACTCTGCCCCAGCTGGTTTAACAGCTCATGGAGATGGTGATGGAATACAGACTGCTTTTCTTACACCTTCCATGGAACCTAAGACAGCAGGAAGCCAAACTCCTGTTGCACACAGGTGCCAGGTGAGGTGTGCTGGCCCCTGGAAGGAGACTCGCTCTGCACGAAGACACTGACCATCCAGTGTGACACAGARAAGCTTGTCTCGGGATGGAGATGTACCCAGCTCAGACTGAAACACGTATGTGTCCGTGGGGCTGTCCTGGCTCCCACCTCCTGGGATTGGGGTGGGTCTGTAGGGGCTGAAAGGTCAGTGGGCACTTCTCCAGACTGCAAGGGCAGAGTGCCAGCAGTCCRCAACTGCAGGAGAGAGTCTGGATCACAACACCCAGAACTGAGTGGACACAGGAGATGCATGGGAGAGGCCCTGGGGGCTTCCCCCACCCCTTTGGTCTGATAGGTCTTTCTGACCCCTTTGCAAAGGCCCACACAAGTGTCAGTCCCCTCTCCAGGAGCAGGTCAGGGTGCTGTGGGAAGAGTGCAGGTTGCCAGGATCACCGTATCCTCTGTGTGGGTGGTGGGCAGTGCCCAGCAGAGATGCCTGGGCAGCTGTCCAGAGGCTGCCAGTGAGCTCAGACAAGCCTCGGGCAGCCTAAGGGTGGGAGAACTGGGAGAACTGGGGCCCCTCTGCATCCAAACTCACCAAACACCCAAATCCCACCAGCCACAGCAGCTCTTTGTATCCCACAGGAGAAGAAGGCGAAGGAGAGGCAGGTGCAGCGGTTCCTGTACACGCTGTGGAGCAGCAAGCAGCAGCCCGATGTGCAGGGTCTGATGGAGCTGCTCACGACTGTCCGGCGGTGCACACCCCACCGCAGGAGGGTGGGCCCTCTGCTGCTGCACTGCAGGTACCCAGGGTCACAGCTCCATCCACGGGCAGCCTCCCAGAGCTGGAGGACACCAGGCTGCTTGGTTCCTGGCATGGCACCGACAAACCTTCCCTTCYGTGCCCTTGGGGCACATTGGTGCTTGGCCCCTGGCAATCAGTGGAGGTTCTGAGCCTGGGAGGTCACAGGGAGCAATGTTTTGCCAAGGGCTGGGAGGAGAGAGGGCAAACAGGGCTGGGTCAGGGGGACAGGCTGAGGTGGCCAGGCCATCCCTGCAGGGATTCGCTTGGACCCAGCGAGAGCTCACAGCACCAACACAGCTCCTGGGACTGGCGCTCTCTTCCAGAGAGGTTCAGCTCAGCCTGGCCTGGCATCAGTGACCCCCCACCCCCTCCTTGTCCCCTGCAGTGGTGGTGTGAGCCAGATAGGGACATTGATCTCCCTGGATTGCCTGCTGCACCAGATGAAAGCTGAGAGGACTGTGGACATCTACGGCGTGACCCTGCAGCTGGCCAGATGCTGCTGCCTCATGACCCCGACCCTGGTAGGTGGGAAGGCGGAGGGGTGGTGGGCAGGGTGGAGCAGAGCCTTGGTGCATCCTGCTCACCCTGGGTGCTCCCTGCTGCCCTTGGGAGCCCATCCAGCCTCAGCAGGATTCATTCCACGCTTCTTCCCCACCCTGTGGCTCTGTCAGTCGCCAAGGACTCAGGGCAGTCACTTTTTCCAGGCAGGAGTTTTTCATCTCCTCAGTTCTGGAGATCAGTTAAATTGCATTTGAGCTCACAGTGAATGCCAGGCACTCTTCCCACTGTACCCCAGGAACTGTGGAGCACTGGTGCCATCCTACAGGACCTGCCTGCTCACTCTTGCCTCCTGGGCATGGCGGTCAGCCTGGGCACCCAGAGTGTCCCCTCGGCCAGTACCTGTCCTGCCGCCTCCCCCAGAGCCAGAGCCTGGTGTGGCAGCTGGGGCTGCCTGTCAGGGGACAGCAGGACACACTGCCACGTTAGCAGGCACTGTCTGACACTGCTGTGGCACTGCTGTGGCACTGTCTGTGCTATTTCTGTGGCACTGTCTGACACTGCTGTGGCACTGTCCGTGGCACTGTCTGTGGCACTAACGCTGCGGTGGCATTGTCTGGTGGCACTGCAGTGGCACTGCTGTGGCACTGTCTAATGCTGTTGTGACACTGTCCGTGGCAATGGCTGTGGAACTGTCTGTGGCACTGTCTGATGCTGCTGTGGCACTGTCTGTGGCATTTCTGTGGCACTGTCTAACGCTGCTGTGGCACTGTCTAACGCTGCTGTGGCACTGCTGTGGAACTAACACTGCTGTGACACTGTCTGATGCTGTTGTGGCATTGTCTGTGGCACTGTCTGATGTTGCTGTGGCACCCCTGTGGGCCTGTCTGACGCTGCTGTTCCGTGCCAGCCCAGCCTCGCCGTGCCAGTCCTGACGGTCACTCGTGGCACCAATGCCTCTGGACAYGCTCCAGCTGCTGCAGCTGCCGGATGAGCTGATGCACATCCCTGGAAACACTCCCCACAGGGCATAGCAGAACCGGGGAGGATCTCTCCAAGCTTTCCCAGCTGCAGAGCCTCCTTCAAGAAGCTAATTACATTCTTAATTAATGTGAACCATGTGCGTGGTGGGAGCCAGAGGAGGGCAGAGCGGCTGCTGCCCCCGCGTCAGAGCTGCTTTGTGCTCCCGCGGCGCCCGGCGCTGCAGGGACACCAAATGGCCATAAAGGCACAGCGAGTGCCCATCAAACGCTGCCGTCCAGCTGAAGGGGGACAGCAGAGGAGCTGCTTCCCCTCAGAGCAGCAGGGCTGCCCCCCAGCCTCCCCCATCCCTGTCGGGGCTTGCCAGCATCCCTTTATGTCTGCCAGGGTCATCGGCTGCTTCTGTGCTGGGGGCACTGGATTTTTGGGGGGGAAGTGAGGGGAGAGATGACCCTTTGATGGATGTCCACGGATAACTGTGGGATATTCAGCTCCAGCGTGGCGTGTCCCAGAKGATGTGCTCTTGCATGTGGCCGGGCACTGAATGTGCTGAGGTCAGCCTTGGGCTGTCACATTTCCCAATCAGAGCCGGCACGCTCTGGTGACCCGGAGCCTGGGCCATTGTGTGATCCACAGCATTCCGGACCCTTCCGTGGGGCTGGACCCACCACGGGGAGGAGGCTCCTCGTGACTCGCGGCTCAGCCAGCGCATTAACGAGCTCTTGGGGGCCCCTTTGYATGTCCCTAATCCCCCCCGGGCGCTGCCGTGTGATTCCAACCCATCCTATGTGCTGGCTGGCCCTGCCCTCCAACTCTGTGCCCTGGGTACGGCCCCRTTTACCTTCCCCACATCTTGCCTGGTCAGTCCTGGTGTTGTTTTGGGGCAGCCTGGTGTCGTTTTGAGGCAGCCTGTCRTYRTTTCRGGGCAGCCTGGCATCATTYTGGGGSAATYKGRTGTTWTKWKGSRGCMKKG